GGGGGGGGGCTTAACCGCATCGCTTTGCTACACAAATGTTGTGTTCCTCTGCAGCCAAACAGCAGAAAGCTGCACACAGCTTCTCCCATTAAAGCTTCTTTATGCATATTTCCTCTTTTTCCCAGAATTTGGGTCAATTGGAGTCCTTGAATGTGGTGAACAGAGTTGTTTTAATCATGTAAATTCAGGGATTTGATGTTTTGTTTTCTTTCTCCTCTGTGATCATGCAGATGATGGTCAGCAAACCCCCAACACCCCGACACCCCCCTCTGGAAAACGGCTGGTAGAGAAACATTCCTCCTTTTGAGCCACAGGAAGTCTCTTTATTTACTCCCTGTTTATAGAAAGCAAAGCCAGATAGTGTTTCTACTCAATACAAACCAGCTGGATTCATAATTACAGACCTGAGTCCAAACGTCTGATGGAGATGGATTCATGTTCTAATTTATATATATTCATATTCTAATATTCCATGACTCCCTCCTCCTGATCGGACCTTTAAACCAGCATGTTGTACCCAGTATGAGTATTTAACTGGGATGAATATTTAACTGGGCCGGACACCCCTCACAGACTCACACAGGCATGAGGGGCAACACTGGTTCCGTCCTGAACGTTTCAGGAACAGTCTGGCACCTGTTACCGCACGCGGCACAACGCACGCAGCACGGAGTTTACCGCGTGTAGCGGCAGGTTTGGCGCACGTGAACCCAGGGAAGGGGGGGGGGGGGGGGGGGGGGGGGGGGGGGGGGGTCGGTGGACTTACGCTGCTGTTGCGTCCGGACCAGTAAACCACCGCGTGGTTGTGCGCGGAGTCCCCCGCGAGCGCGAACGTGCTGCTGCTGAGCCTGGGCTCCTCCGGGCGCGTGCTCGCGCTCCTCCTGGCCCTGGGGGGCGCGTGCTCGGGGTGGGGGGGCACTTCCGGGGTGCGCGGACGGGCGTCCTCAGCTCCCAGTTCTCCAAAGTCCGCGCGCACCCCGGGCGGGAACTCCCCCCGGTGGAGTCGAACCGGCGACCGGCAGGATGCGCAACTTATCTCCGCGCGTGCGTGTGGCGGGCAGTGCGCGGCCACCAGCAGAAACAGACCCAGACACGCGCGCGCGCACGGGCGCGAGCCGGACCAGGTCTCCATCGCGGACTGAGATCTGGAAGGGTGACAGAGGCTGGGAACCCGGATCCGACCCCTCGTGCCCTGGGTAGCGTGGACGCGCAGACGTGCGTGCAGAGGCACGTGCGTGCGGAGGCGCGTGCGTGCGGAGGTGTGCGGGAAAAGTGGTGTTGGGAGAAAGTGTTGAGGTCCGGAGCCGTGCACCGGGAGGGAGGAGCTGTTCCGCGGCCAGCTGCCGACTGAGCCCCGGAAGAGAGGGGCGCGCGGTGTGTGCACGCGCGCATGGGTAAGGGAGAGAGAGAGGGGAGAGAGAGAGGGAGAGAGAGGGAGAGAGAGAGAGGAGAGAGAGGGAGAGATAGTGAGAGAGAGGGGGGGGAGAGAGGTGGGGTGGAGGGACATAGAGAGAGGGAGACAGGGAAGGAGGGAGAAAGAGGGATAGAGGGAGAGAGGGGGGGGGGAGAGAG